TGTCTATTTTTTCTTTTGTTGCTTATGCTTTTGATATCATATACAAGAAATCAATAGCAATGTTATAATGCTTTCCCCTTATGTTTTATTCTAGGAGTTTTATAATTTTGGGTCTTACATTTAGGTCTTTAATCCATTTTGAGCTAATTTTTATATTTAGTAAAAGATCAGAGTTCATCTTCATTTTTTTTTTTTGCATGTGGATGTCCCCAGCACCATTTGTTGAAGAAACTGTCCTTTCCCCAGAGAGTGGTCTTGGCACCCATGTTGAGGGTCATTTGACCACATACACCAGGGTTTATTTCTGAGTTCTCGATTCCATTGGTCTGTTTATCTGTCTTTATGCCAGTACCACACTGATTATTATAATATATATATATGGCTTTGTAATATATTTTGAAATATGGAGTGCAAGTCCTGTAACTTTGTTCTTTTTTACAATTGTTTTGGCTATTTGGGTTCCCTTAAGAACACATATGAATTTTAGGATGAATTTTTCTGTTTCTGAAAAAAACGCCATTAGGATTTTATAGGGATTGCCTTAAATCTGTAGGTTGCTTTGAGTAGTACGGACATCTTAACAAGATTAAGTCTTCTAATCTTTGAACATGAAATGTCTTACCGTTTATTTTCATCTTCTTGAATTTCTTTCAGCCATGTTTTATAGTTTTCGGTGGAGGATTGTTATTTTAATTTCCCCTTGAGAGTACTGTCTGCTTTGATGAAAGCAGGACGAATTTACGTGCTTCTGGCTTGGTAAGAAGCTGCATCTTGAAACCTGAGGGAGCTGGCGTCTGAGTCTGATTGTTTTTGGCTTCTCAGAGCTCCCATGCAAGTATGCATCAGAACGCCCTATACTTAAGCTGTGACTCATGGCGTTCCCCCCTCCTCCATCCAGTGCTCTGGGGAAGGCAGGAATCCTTGTAACTGGTGTTGTGTTCCTAGAGGGGAGGCCGCGACAGCTGGTGCCAGCCTGGCCACTGTCAGCCGGGCTCAGGTTTCTGAGCATCTTGGCTGTTGCACACGCCAAGCCATGAAGGTCTACACGTTTCAACTCTGGAGAGTGAGAGCTCTGCTGCTCTTAGGGGGCAGGACGCTGTGTCAGTAAGGAGAGCTGCGTGCGGAGAGACAGCAGTAATCTCTCTCTGAGCTGAGGCCGAGAGTGTTAAGGAGAGCGGGCTCTGGGTGTTTATTTTCTCTCTTTGGTCCCATAGGGCCATGACCTGAGCCAGGCCGTGCATATTCCGGCTTTGGAAGCCCCTAAGGGGGCGCCGCAGGAGCTGCAGAGTTACCCCGCTCACCTCTTGCTGTTCAGAGAGGCTGTATGGAATAAGCACGTTGAGAAATCCTGCCCGTTACTTACCCTTTTTTCATTTTGTTGTAAAACTTTGCAGTTCCTTCGTGGTGTTGTAAGGAAGAACGTAGGTAATCCCCAACTTAGTGCAATCCTCCTTATTTCCTTGTAAAAACTGTTATTTTAAGAAAATGTCATCAGGCTGGCGCGATGACTGCATGTCTGTTGAGCCTCTGACAAAAGTGTGGTCCGGGTCTGTGTAGCAATGTTCTAGCCGGCTGACTTCAGGGAGGGTCCCACTGGCGTGGGGGAGGGAGTGTCCTGTCTTGTGTTGGTCGTTCATTCCAGTAAAAGCTCTCTGGGTCCACACTGCTTGGGCCTGCTGTTCTCGCTGTGGGATTTTCCCCTAGCATGTCAGCGCCAGAGCCCATGTTAAACTCCTCGCTAATCTTCTCTCGTACAATGTCCTTGGTAGAATCCTAAAATTACACTTTGGGCCCGTAAGATCCCTTTTGTGGCCCTTTTATCTCCCGCCGCGTGGTGTTTACTGGTTACAGAGACAACAGAGGCGGGTGAGGGAGGGCATCCTCGCAGAACATCCTGTAGGATTGGGTCTCAGCCGCGGTCGGTTTGCAGTCCCTTCGGTCTCATCTTCCAGAGTGGTAAAGGTGGGTGGAGATGGACAGATAAAGTATTTCCCCTACTGTTCCACCTTCTTGAGGACTCTCTTGATATGCCCGGGAAGATGCTTCACTTCCAGGAAATCAATAGTCACTTGAGGAAGCTGCTATCTGAACAGTCTTCCCTTGCAAAAGGATTGATTGATCGGTGTGCAAGCAAAGTATGTGTTGAGCAACAGAAGCACCAACTACTGTAGCTGTTGCCACCACTGACATTTCTTTCAGATCTAATGGTTTGTAAAGTGCATTGCCGTGGATGTTATCGGATTTCATCCGTCTATCATGAGATAGTATAGCTTTAGAATCTGTTTCAGAGATTAGAAAACCAACGTGCTCAGTGTTGTTGGGCTTCCCCAAGGTCATGAGGTCGCAAAATCAGAGTCAGGTTCTAAACTGTTGATTTCTTTTTGATTCTAAATTGCAAGATCCTTCGAGGGCACCAGAGTTTGCACCGTTATAGTCACCGCCAGGGGTGCACAGAAAGAGTACATCATTTCTTACCACTTACAAAATCAACACATAAGAAACAAAAACAAAGCTGTCATATTGTGTGGTAATGTGTGGCGCATTAGGAAATCAGATTTAGAAATCTGCGTGAGCTGGTCGGTCAGGGAGGAAGCTTCCAGAAAGAGGTGGAACTTGGGTTGGCCCTTGAAGAAGGGATGAGATTTGGGGAGGTAGAGGGCAAGAGTGTCGGGGGTGGGGCATCCGTTTGCCTGACAGCTCAGGGCAGGAATTCTCACCCCGACAACTTCACTACTGTGCTTATATTTCAGGAAAATTGTCTCCCAGGGTCAGGCTGTCTTTCAAATAACAGGCAGCTGAAGTTTTCTCAGCTGCTAGGATGCAAAATTGCAATTTTGCATGAAAGGAATGCAGAACTTTTGATGAAAGGAATGCTCGATTGTCACTGTCTTGCCTTGCACGAAGAGCCCTTGGAGAGCAAGGACAGTGTGCAAGGACAGGACGCTAATGGGTATCTTGCTGTCCTTGTGGTTTCCTCGAATAGCCTGCTCTGCGATGTGGTTAAGGAAACTTAAACATGCAGCCTATAAGGATGGCAAATGGACTGTCTGGGGGCGGTTCACAAAGTGTTACTAGAGTGCCTAAAAAATTCCTTTGTATTTTTTGGTGATAGGTTTGTGACTCTTATCCTACTGAACTGTACGTTCCCAAATCGGCCACGGCACACATCATAGTGGGCAGTTCCAAGTTCCGGAGTAGACGGCGATTTCCTGCCCTTTCTTACTACTATAAAGGGAACCACGTAAGTCTCAGGCATGCTTTTGCTTTGCACTTTGCTTTGCTTGTTTTATCATAAACAGGCATTTTTTTGGCTGCCTTCTGCTCTGTAAGTGTGCGTGTGTGTATGTGTGTGTGTAAGGTATGTAGATATCCCGGTGTAGGGTACCACACAATGCAACTGTGCTTAAATGCTTATCTCACATAGAAGTCGACTTTCCATATTTGACAATAAAGTAATGGGATAGAGTCAGAAGATACCTAAACTTGATCATCCAAGTGAATGCTGTCTTCTTCTAAGAGGCTTGGAAGGCTCTTGCTTATTCAAGCGGTATCAGAGATCCTTGAAATGCCTATTTCAGAAAAGCCCCCAAAGACAATGGCACATTCTTTGTGTTTTTGGTGGCATGTTCTTTTAGTAGTCTCAGTATAAGAAATCTTTGTTTATGGAGAGAGTGGGCTTTTTTTTTTTTTAATTATTATTGGTAAAAGGTGGAATTGGGTTTGTCTGTAACTAACAGAGACCCTAAGTGACACTTGGTCTAACAGGATAGAACTCTGTTTTCTCTCTCATAAACCTCCAAAGCTGGGAGGCCTGGTGTCCTGGCTCTACGCCACTCAGCCCTCGGCCACCCAGCTCCTTCCACCTTTCCGCTCTGCCAGACGTCGGGTCTGGCCTTCGTCTGCCTGGTGCACGAGAGGACTTTGGTACCCATCGTCACCTCCCCACCCAGGCAGCAGATGCGGGAGGGCTCGTGGTGTGCTCCCTGCTCGTGTGAGGGAGGCTTCCAGGAACTGCCACACGCCACTTCTGCTCACATCCCAGCAATCAGAACTGCACAGGGCAGGGGAGAAAATACAGTCTCGTGGGTTGCCGTGTCAACAATGAAAATTCGGACTTCCATATTTGTGGAGGACAGGAAACCAAATTTGCAGGAACAAGAATGGTCTTTGCAACCCACTGCAGATGTTATTTGGCTCCAATCAGGTGAGAAAGTTTGGTCTTCAAGCTGGATACTATAGTTTTGGATTCAAAGCCAAGGGAAGCTACAAGTAATTGAGAGAGGGGAGCGTGTGTGTGTGTGTGTGTGTGTGTGTGTGTGTGCGCGCGCGCGCATGTGCGCACATGCACACACATGCTTGCATCTGTAGCCAGGGCTCGAGCGGGGTCTGAGTCAGATTCTAAGGGAGGCTTCCAAAAATACTTCGAGCAATGCCAGCTTCCCCAGAGGAAGCACACAGCCTTCTGTGTTGCCTGCTCTGAAGGGAGCTATTCATTTAGTGGTGTAAGTTCTGTTAATTGGAAGGATATAAATTATCTTATTTTTAGTTACACCCACTGGTCCTAGTCTTTTCCTAGCTCTGAATTGGGATCTAAAGAAAGAAAGCATTTTATTACTATCCTGTATTATTTAACTCCAAATGTATTTCAGCCTACACAGAACTGGAGCAGCCATAAGAGGCAAAGGAAGATGTCAGTCTCCTTTTAAAGAAAGAAGGATGGCATGAATAGGGATATGGAATTTCATGATGTTGCGTTTGAAGTTAGGATGCTAGCAGCATTCACGTTTCTGGTAGCATCCGTTGAGGAGTAGGAGAGGAGATGAATTCAGGAGAGGGGAAAGGATCTTCTGTCGTTGTTTCAGAGGTGGGATTGGGCAGGGTATTTAAGAAGTGAGGATGGTACCTACCTAACTTGCTTCTTTTTAAGATTCTTGAGAAAAGGGACCTTTTTTTTTTTTTTTTGGTCAATGTGAGTGTCGTAGGGAGCAAGTGTGTCCTGTCTCAGAAAGGATAGAATTTTACGCGCTGAGACCTCAGAGGCAGCTTCCTCCTCTGCTGACTTCAGACCCTGAGCTGCACCCCTGCTCCCCAGTGCTGTGCTTTCCTTGATCTCAGGCCTGAAAAGGAGCTCACACAGCAATTAGCTATCATTTAAGAGAATTGATTCCCTCTATTTAAAATTTTAAAACAGAAAATACTGCAAGTTTTAGCTCTACTCACGAGGTGCAGAACAGAGCCGTGTTGCTAAGCATTGCTCCCGATCTGGGTGCCCCAGGCAAGACTCAGTGTGCGCCCACAGGCCGCCCACTGTCCCACCTTGTGGACTAAAATCTACAGTGCAGGGAGAATAATGATCAACTTTGTGTTTTATAACAGTGCTTAGATTTTAATATGAAGATCGAATGTCATAAACGCTTCGGATTGGACTAGGGCTTTTCATAAAGGGATTTCTTATTACCAAAGGTGGATTTCTGTGGTTTCAGTGGAAGACACTGAACTACCAGAGGAATTTTCTGTGCTGTCGTTGCTGATCGAAACCCACCTATAGAACAGGCAGTCTTCCATAAAAAGCAAATGGGTGCAGGGTCCATGAATTTGCTGATCTTTTTCTTCCCTTTGACATTTTAGGCTTAAGAGTATGTATTTCTACCCCAGTAGCTCTTAGGCTTGTGAATAAGAGCGCTGCATTGTATAGTGAAAATACTGTTCCCTATGTGTCATTACCAAAGGGACGCTTTCGATTTTGATGGTAAGATGACTTGGCTAATGGTGGGCGGTGGGAATTGGGGATTAGATTGAGAGAAGCTTGAAACGCATGTCATTGTAGGAACCTGAAGTCCTGTTCGGGGTCCTTTGGTATAAATGCCCCTGGTTATGGTACACAGTCCCCTTTGGGGCAGCTGCTATCACACTGGTGTTATGATCCTGTCCTGTTCGCTGGCTGGTGAGGGAGGGGTTCCTGCGCTGGGGTTATGGGGATGGCCAAACACACAACACTCGACGTTGGACCCATGTGACCCATAGCAGTTTATCGGTCACATGTATTCCCTGCGCGGGGTGGGGAGGACACCACATGCCATGAAGGGCCACATGAGGTTGCACTGGGGAGCAGAATGTCAGCCAGCGGCTGTGAGAGGCTGGCTTTGTGTTGTAGTATCAGGAGAGGGGGTCACCCCTGGTTCCTGCAGGAGGATGTGATGAGCTTCTTTGACTAATTCCATGGGCTGGCAGGGAACTGAAACCTGGTACCTGGGGATGAACAGCAGCCGCACCTGCTCTGTTGGATAAGGAGAATTGTTTGGCTGGGGCACCTTATCTATAGGAGCAGCGTGTGGAAGGGAACTTGCGGTGAGGCCATTTGAGGCCCTCCCAGTTTCACTGGATCTCAAGGCAACGCATAATATTAACTGTAGGCCTTTCACAGGTTATATAGTGCCACTCGGCTCCCTTTGGATATCCAACTGTTAACGGCTGCGCAGATCATGGTGAGAGATGCGTAAATGTCACCCGTGTTCAGAATTCTGTGTATGTTTGTATTTGAGAGTTCTTAGAATTTCTCTATCCTTTTTTTTTTTTTTTTTTTTTTTTTTTTGAGACAGAGTCTCACTGTGTTGCCCTGGCTAGAGTGAGTGCCATGGCGTCAGCCTAGCTCACAGCAACCTCAAACTCCTGGGCTCAAGCGATCCTCCTGCCTCAGCCTCCCGAGTAGCTGGGACTATAGGCATGCGCCACCATGCCCGGCTAATTTTTTCTATATATTTTTAGTTGTCCGATTAATTTCTTTCTATTTTTAGTAGAGACGGGGTCTCGCTCTTGCTCAGGCTGGTTTCGAACTCCTGAGCTCAAACAATCCTCCCGCCTCGGCCTCCCAAAGGCTAGGATTACGGGCGTGAGCCACCGCGCCCGGACCCTTTGTTCTTTATTATTTTTTTTAAAGGAGAAGTTTTACTTTAAATTGTACACAACATGGGCTCCCAAATTCACAGTAGAAATTTCTGGGAAATAAAACTCTTGGAGATTTCCAATGGGGCAATTTTCCTTAAGAAAAATATAGACCTTCTTGCTCTCTTTTTATAATTAAATATTTATTGAAACTTCCTATGTGTTAGGCACAGTTCTAGGAGTGTTATATCCCTTATCACAACCTGTAGTTTTAATGTCTTACCCATTTTATAGTTGAGAAAACTGAGGTTCAGGGAAGATATATAAATTACCCAAGATCATACAGTGAGTTAGTGCAAAACTGGGAGTAAGAGCCAGGTCTTCTTGCATGCTGCAGCTTAATGCCTTATCATGCTCCCTGGCCTACTTCCTCCCGGGGGGCTAAATTCCTTTGGTTAGGAATTGAGGATCAGGAAATATTCTGTCTGGATTCAAATCCTGGCTTCCTCCGTTACTAGCTGTGTGACCTTGAGAAGTTACTTAACCTCTCTGTGCCTTGGTCACTTCATCTATAAAGAGAAACAAATAATATGATAATTGGAAATATGATAATTGGAAAGATTAAATAAAAGGATACAAAGTTATTCTAATAGAGCCTATCACATAAATGGTCAAAAATAGTAGTAAGCCATGAGAAAATGTTGGCTATTTTAATTATCATTAGCATCGTAAATGAGAGGCTCCCCTGACAGTTTACCACGGAGGAGTTTATAATCTCTGCTCTCAGGACACTGACATCAGTAAGAAGTGCTGCCAGGTCATAGTAATACTCTCTCAAGCATCCGACCATCGAGGCTACGTGCAGAGTGTGCAGAAACACTCGGGGACTCTGAGTGTTCTATACAAAAGCAAAAACCCATACGTTAACAATCACTGAGTCCATGAAGAATTTTGTTTGGAAATAACATCTACAGGTTATTAAGAAAATGTCAGTACAAAATACCAAAACATAGTCTGTTTCATAGGTCTGGTTCAACTTATTGGCCCCACATTTCCTAGTATAACTCTGGTCTGACGGACCCCTCCTTTAAACCAGCAGGTAATGGGAAATAGCTTTTGTCATTCACTTGCTCCATTTCCTAATTGCACTAGCTGAGTGAGTTCAGGTGTGCGCACTCTCAGACACAGTCTCACCGTGCAGTTACGTTCTCTTCCCCATCTAACCCTTCTGATAGAATCTGCCAGATTGCCCGGTGGCAGCTGTCCTGCACTAATCTTTCTTTAACCCAGATAAAGTACCATATAAAGCCAGCTCTCTCTCCAGGCAGAATTCTCTCCGAGCAGGGCGGCAGACTCTGGCCCCTTAAAGATCAAAGGAAACAGGACCCCCGTGAAAGCGACCTGTGGCCACTTGCTTCCCGCCCACTGGACGCAGCTTGCCTTTCGCCCGCTGACCCCCCCTTGCCCCCTGCCATCTCTTCACCTTGCTCCTTGACCTCCCCCAAGCCCGCTGCCCCCACTTCCGTGTTCACACCCACTGGTCTTTTTCTCCTCCCCTCTGCCCAAGCACGAAATGACTCTGGAGTCACTTTGCTGTCACTTCGGTTTGCTCCCCACGCCCCATGCCTGGCCTCCTGCACTCTGAACCTGCCTGCGGCCCCGGATTTCCTTGAGCCGCTTCAGTAACTGCCTGTCTCTACTGCGGATGGTACCAGAACCTGCATACAATCGCCCAGCTGTGTGTCTGGCCATTCCGTCATCCTCAGTCTTTAGAACTAGCGAGAAACATCCCCGCCTTCCCCGGTGAGGAGCACCACATTTCTCTGGAGAAATCCATGGAGTTGCCACATCGTCCTGGGTTGGGTCTTCAGGACAGTTAAGCTGGGATTGGACTCAGAGCTGGGGTGCCCGTCACGGACAGAACCCCGCAGTGCAAGCGCCCTGAGCGGCTGTGACGCCACGCGACTATTTCCCACTGAAAGGTGCCCCTCCTCGGCTTGCCCACGGGGGTTCCCTGTTAGTGGCAACCGGGGCTTTCATCGCAGTCGAAACTTCCCACTTAGAATTGGTTTTGGAATTTGTTGATCTTTTTAAATGGGCTAGTAAAAAAGGTGATGAAAAGCATTAAAAAATAATTTTTTTTAGTAGTCTTGCCATTAATAGTATCCTGTAAGTTGTAGGAGAACAATTATTTATTTCGTATTTCCACTTTCTGCAGGAAAATGAGACAATGTCATTGAAAAGGAAAGTAGGTTATTTAAATGGTTTTCAGTTTCATGATTTAGATCCTATCTAAACATCCTTGCACATTCCCAGTATCTTGCACAGAGAGGCTTTTTGTACTGCTTGCCCGTTGCTGGTTTCTTTGACTCGAATTAAAAATAAACACATCTCGATTTCCCGAAAGCTCTACCACATTTTCACAAGCCGGCGTGGGGCGTCAATGAACCAGTGTTCTGGAGAGATGCTTAGGGCGTCTCTGGTGGGTGCAGTTACCTGATGGTGCCGTGTTGCTCTGACCTCCCCGCCCAGGCCTCCATTTGCCGGAGCAGCCAGCCCCTGTCCGGTTTCAGCGCCCGGTGCCTGGAGGATGAGCAGATGCTCCAGGCCATCAGGAAAGCCAATCCAGGAAGCGACTTCATTTACGTCGTTGACACTCGGCCTAAAGTAAGTGTCACCGTTTCCACGCGTGCCTTCGAGTCACAAAGCTGGAGACAGGCTGCCATGGCTTGCTCAGGCTGCCTCGTCTGCACGGAGGCCCCCCCTTTAGGCACAGTGTCTGGGCGCCCTGCGGGGCTGCCTCCTGGAAGTCCTCAGCTCCTGCAGCCTGACTGTGTTAGGGACGTTTTCTGTCCCCCTGCTCCTGGCCTGGTGCCGGGTGCAGAGTGGCACACGATAAATGAGTGTGGTTTAATTTTGGAGGTTGCTTTCCTAAACACACCAAATTATTATCTGATTTGTTTATAAATCAAACCCTTTCTGCTCTGACAATATGAAGTTTACTATGAAACTCCGGCAGTGCCATTCTTGTGATGGAAAATTCAGCTTGTGGTGATCTGTACCTGTGACCTGGAAAGTTGTCTAAACTGTAATGCTAAGTAAAAAAACAAGTTATGAAATAATATGTATACTGTTGTATTTGTGTAAAAAAAAAAAAAACTATAGGTATGTAAAAATGCATACAGAAGATCTGCAAGGGTAAACACTAAGTTATTAAAATTCCATGGAGAGAGGAGTAGGATTTGGGGAGGTAGAGAACTTTCTACTTGTTTGTTGTTAGAAAATATTATTTTATAATTGCACATATATCGACGTGTTAATTTTCTAATTTAATAAAACAACCGATAGGAAGTAATAGATTTAGTCACCAAGGGGTAAGCCCAGTGGATCTTACACTTATGTCCACTTCAGCTTTACTTTTTTTTTTTTTTTTTTAAGGAGAATCAGTGTTAGGTCCAATAAAATTTCCAGTTTTGCTCCTTAGACGCAATTCTTTCAAAACCAATCAGCAAATGGAGCTCCCAGAGGAATGTGATGGTGAATACACGGAAACACAATCACCCACAGGTACCTCGACTCTGTAGGACAGAAGGAGATGACAGAATGAAATGTCTTTTATTCCACACTTTTGCCATTGTGATTTCTAGCCTATAGTGAACGCGTACCTGGACCTACGACTGATGAGAAAGATGTACGTGCAGCTCTGTCTCTCCATGTGGTGTGGAGAGGAGTCTGAGATGTCCCATTGAGCAACCAGGGTGGGATACGGAAACTCCATATGATACAATCCCACTGAAACACACTGGGGGGAACGTATACCAGGCTGCTCACAGTGGTTTTCCTGTGGGGCGAGAGGTTGATTTTAAGAAACTTTTTACTTTCTAAATTACAGGTTGAAATTTTTTTCATCATAAAAAGGTTCAAAGAGCATAAGGACCTTACACGTGAAACCCAGTTAACGTGTGACCCAGTAATTCTATTGCTAGGTGTATAACTAAGACAGATGAAAACATGTCCACATAAAACATGGATATGAATATTTGTTCATTATTAATAATAGCCTAAAAGTACAAATAATCAATTGTTCCTCAACTGAGAATGGATTTATAAAATGTGGTACATCCATTCAGTGGAACGTAAATGGGAATGAAGTCTTGATACAGACCACAACGTAAGCGAACCTTGACAATGTTATGCGAAGTGGACAAAGTCTGTCAGAAGGGAACCCATATCGTAGGATTCCATTTACGTGAAATGTCCAGAATAGGCAAATTCTTAGCAACAGAAAGTATTGACAGGTTGATGGTTGCCTAGGGCTGGGGGGAGGGAAGAAATGGAAGTGACTGCCAATGGGTAGAGGGTTTCTCTTTGGGGTAATGGAAATACTCTAAAATTAGATTGTGCTGATGGTCACACAACTCTGTAAATGTACTAAATCCCATTGAGTTGTACGTTTAAAATGAGTGAATTGTGTGACATGTGAATTATATGTCAGCGAAGCTATTTGGAAAAGAACGTAAGGAAAGAAACATTACAACAGGAAGGAGGAAATAGGACTAATAGGAGTGACAGCTCAAGTCACTTGAAGTATCCACTGTTAAGAATGGGCAGTTATGGGCATAGCCTGCACTCACTGGGGATGAGAGAAAGAATGGGAACTGGGTACCACCCTTTGCTTCGGGCAGGCGCTCAGACCCTGGTAACGTTGGCTGAGCCCCATGTCACCAAGCACTGGGATTCATGCCCTGGGTCACTTACTGTGATGTTCTCCTGGTGTGAGATCAGTGCCCTACTCAGACCCTTGACCTCAGAACAGTCCTGTCTCCTTCGGACCCAGGTCCGGTAAGGGTTAATAGCTGTGCGTGGCAGTGAGTGTGGAGAATTACTCTCGGATGCGGATGAGTAGATCAGTCACGGAGGCCGCTGCTGAAACATGTTACAGCGAGATCGTGTTCACACTTGAGTAGATTAGAAGTAAAGGCTCCCTTTCTTGTAAAGACGTTTTCAAAGCACAACACACAGATAACAGCTTCCAACTGGGGAAAAAAATAACTTCTCTGCTTGAAGATTTTTCACTTGGAAGATGCCAGAAAATCTCTGACTTTTACTGTTCTCTTTTTGATTTGTGCTTTTTCTCTCCGGCTTATTGTGCTTTAACTAACCCTTGCTGCTCACACTGACTGCTTTTCTTCATCCTCTTTGCATCTAAGCAAGGCGGAGCTATTTTGAGTTTCCTAATAGTTACAGAGGATTGAATGAATGCCTGCTTCTGAGACAGATATACTGAAGACAGGGAAAGAAAGGAAAAGAAAAGAAAAGAAAAGAAAAGGAAAAAAAAAAAGTAAAAGACAAGAGAGGGGCTTTACCCAGTAGAGACTGGGAACCCTCTTCCTATCCTGATTTTCCAGATTTAAATGCAAACAGATTCAACGGCTGATTTAAGGGTCAGTGATCCAAGTTTGTACTATGTTATGTAAACCTTCTAGGAAATACGCCAGCTGTAGAGCCAGGCGTATTCCAGATTTAAAAGAAATTAATCCAAAGGATTTGATCTGAAGGGTATATTTAGCACTAAGCGTGTTTACTCTCAGCGATAAGCAGTTTGACGCTGATGCATTAAAGAAAAGTGGGATCTTGTACAAGCCGTGCCCTCTTATATATACCCACGCACACGCGCTTCGCGTGAGTTTTAAACTGTTTGCTTCGAGCTTTCGTTCTTTTAAAGATCACGTCTGTTGATTTTTGTTGCGGAGCGCGCTAGGCCTCCCTGGTAGCCAGGAGACTGAGTGCATGTTTGGCCTAGCAGGTGCGGACGGTGGTGAACGGGCACTTCCCAGGTTTGCTCACAGGTTTAATTTTAAAGAGAAAGGGTTAGGAGGCGGCCTGGGGAGTTGTTGTCCTTTGAGCAATGCTAGCCCCACGAAGGAGCTTCCAGAGCCGCCTGTTCGGATGAAAGCCTTCGGAATGGCTGTTGACATCGAACTATCTATTGGGAGGCAAAGGCAGTGAGGTCCCCAAGCATGTGTTGAACATGCACTCGAATAAATCATGCCCTTCAGGTCATATTTTACTGCTAGGGTTTGGTGCCTTGAGAAAATATGGAAAAGTGTTGATGCAGTGTTTGTTGAATTGTAACAGGAGGGATAACTCATTGGATTGCATCCTTGTTCGTGACTTTATCCTTAATTTGTTCTGGGACTTTGCTGAGCTCGTAAAAATGCCAGGCACTTTCTCATTTAATTCTTATAAGAGTCTTGCGAATTAGGAGTTTTGTTTTTTTTTTTCTTTTCACGAGTAAGGGATTAGATTTAAAGAGGTTGTTAAATAATTCGTCCACGGTCGCACAGTTCAGGGTAGAGCCCAGATTCAAATCCAGGCTCATCTGACTCCACAGCCTATGATGCGCTTGACCACGACGGTTTTTTCTGTTTACAAAAACTCTCCAGTGAAGCCTGGTCGCCACTCTGGGAGCCAGGAAGGTTGCCACCTCTGGGTGCACACCCAGGGCAGCCACCCCGAGCTCATCCAAAGTCAGGCCGGAGGAGCAAGAAGGGCTCCATGCTGCCCTCTGAACACCAGCAGCTTTGGCGGCATCGCCGAGCCATGAAGAGGAGGGGCGAGGTTGAGGCGGGCACCTGCCACGGTGACGCTCAGCCTTTTGTCCTTGTTCCTTCTCCAGAGACTGCTCTGTGGTTATGCCCTCTGATTTCCCCACGTCAGTGAGTTTTGGTTGTGTAACAGGATGTCGTGTGGAATGTTTTTCTGTTTCTCTAGGATTGGTGATTCGGTGGTTTCTACTCACTGTGTCCTGCGAAGGGGGTGTCTAGGAAGATCAGTTGTAAAGATTTGGGGTGCCTGAAAGAGGGGAAGCTGGGATCTCATTTCTTAGTCAGATGTGCATCGTGCTTGCTTGTGGCTGTCATGACAACAAGCAGAGGGAAGAGGACGGGGGAGAGACAGCAGTGCTTAGTGGCCGTGGAACAGTGGGCTTTCCCGCTCTGTGACAGGGCAAGAAGGGAGAGGTTTCCTGTGGGTCAAGTGGACATGAGGAAGCAAGTTGGACCTGAGCCGTCTTGCGTGGACCTTCCCAGGAGGGCTGGCCCACCCGGGGTCCCCCGCTGCATGTGACTGTCAGGTGTGTGCTGGCAAGCAAGCTGAGGAGCTTGGGGTAGCCTCAAGCCAAGGTGGATCTTGTGTGTCGGAGAAATGTGTCCTCCCCACCTCTGAGAATCGACGCATATGCCTTGGGAGATGCAGTGTCTGGATGGTGATGGTCCCACCAGCGATGGCCCATTAGTTTCAACCAGAAAAGTGGTGACAACCAGTGAAGAGAGGATTATAACCTTTGCTGGCTTTGCAAGAGAAACCGACCTCTTCTCTGCACTTCCCGCGATACACAGATGGGGTCGAGAAGAACGCAGGGACTGAGGGGGCAGCAGAGCAAACCCCACACCCGTCTCAGTAGCCCAGAATGGGGGAATGAGATAACTTCGCATCCTGTATGGGATTGGAATTGTCAATTAAGCCGGATGGAGATTTTCGATCTGAGTTTAATTCTAAAGCTATTAAATCTGCCCAAGGTGTCCTCAGGGCGTGGGAAAGGAGGATTTCGACTAGCACAGCTGTAGAAAGTGGTTGCAAGGAGTCAAGTCATCTCATGGTTTCTTGTTTGTGCCACCAGTTAAGGTTCTGCCTTTAGTCAGTTACATATGGTGGGAGAGAGAAGGGCCATCGTGCTAGGTATGGCCCAGGCCCCCTCCTGCCAAGATCAACTCTTTACTGTCATTTCCCAGCCACGTCAGATCAGGGCCATCACGATTCAGGCATAAAATGTAGCTGCGGGAATCTTAGACTCTAGGACTAGGGAAGGGACCAGGTTGACCTTTAACCTGATGTCAGAGTGAACACTGAGCTTTCGTACGTTTGATCAATGTAGGGTTAGGGGGAGAATCTGATGCTGTCTCTTCACAGCCGCGGCCCGCTCATCCCTCACTTCACCGTTACTTGGACGTTTATGCAGCTACTGAGTCTACGCTGAGCACCTATTCTGCGCCAGCTGGATTTGGGCTTTATTTAATGAGACCGACACGGCCCCTCCTGGAGCTTGGGAGCTTTTGTTCTCTCCCCTCCTCTCGTTTACCTCGAGTTTTTAACTGCCTGCCTGTCTCCACTCTCCCCATTCCCATGGAACTTCTCTGTCGTGGACACTAAATCAGCCTCGAACTTTTCGATTACACCTGCTCAAAAGCCTTCAGTTGCTCTTCAGTGCCACAGGTGAAGTCTCAATTTCTTAATTAGGCCTGTTTGTAGAGGACCCTCAGGTGCCTTCTGGCCTCTTCTCTTGCTCCTGCTGTCACATCGGAACCCTCTACTCAGCGTGGAGGGGTGGGCTCTTCAGTGCTGGCCTGCGGCTTTGGCCTTGTGCCTGCACGCTGCTTCGTCTAGAGCGCCCTCCCCTCCCTCTCTTCCTTGCAGATTCTGTGACAGTCCAGCCCAAGCTCTCACTCTTTCATGAACTGTTAGCCCTGCTCCCCAGCCGGGTGGCCTTGCTCTAGCATCCAGCTCCTGCCACGGCCACTGTCTCCATGTTCCCTCAGCTCCCACCCAGGCCTGGTGGGACTGTCTGTGGCCACTGTCACCATGTGCTTTGTCATCCATGCTCAGTTAATTGCTTAACACTGCAGGGACAGCTTCCTGTTCATCTTTCTCTTCCATTCATTGCGTGGCCCACAGTAGGTGATCACTGAGTGTTCATCGAGAAACGACAGAGTTCTTTTTGTTTCATTCGTGAACTTCTCTCTGCATCCAAATGTGCTGCAATGACCACATAGCAAAGTGATCTTGTGTTAGAAAACAGGGTACTTTTTCCAGTCCTGTTTTTCACGTATCCGTTGTGTTTCTTAAACGGAGTTGAAGCTGCAATGCTGTTACCCTTAGTGCTTTATCTTTAGGAGCTGACATGGTTAGCTTTCTCTTTGGTCGTGACATGGAGTTCTCAACCAAAGGGACAGAGGACCAAATTTGACGAATAGTGAGTTGTTTATGTAAGGGATGCTATATCTTTTTATCTATCATCTGTCTAATATCCAGGATAATTTCTTGAATTTTTATGAATTGTAAAGCCACATTTCCTGCTTTGAGGGTTCAGCTTTTGCTGCATTGGCAAGCTAGATCCTGTTAAATAGGTGGGGATCTTGACAAGCTACCCTTTGGATGGTAGATAAAATACCGCCACCTTCTGTTCACTATGTGAAGTACACATTGACTTTGAGAAGGTTGTCGTGCGTTGCTCCTTTACTTCTAAGGAAGACTACCAGTCAGTTCTCCCAGATCATAGATAATCAACTATTTTAAATTGTGAACACAGAGTCTTAATTATAGAGTAAAATAACATTTTGATTTTTATTAAAAACAGTATCTCTGTGGTGAGTAGGCTTAAGTTGAATTATTCAAGATAACAAAACATAACAGAATAACAAAACATTTTGTTCAGAATGACAAAACATAAGTTCATGTAACATAAGGATACTTGAAAGCAGCTTATGAATTTGTTCTGTTTTATGAAGCTTGTTATATAGGATAAGCCGACAGCTTTGGAAAATAATTATATAAAGCAGTGATATTTTATAATAGTTTCAGAAGAACAATATCTATATGTAATTTTAGAAAAATTTTCCCCTTAAAATATTTGAACTTTTAAAAGCATGAATGTAAATTGTCTTAAAAATACATTATTTTAATATTTTTTTCTTGATTAAGGCCAAAACCTTTATTCTCATAGCATTCCTGGGAGACAGACGAAACTCTTGTGTGGACTGGGGACAGCGTCCTGGGGGGCCGATGTCCCCAGCTGATGTCACATGAGCTAAGTTGTGGAGCAGGACTGCTACGGAAATGTGACGTGTTTGCCCACCTGAGCCCCTGTGACAACAGCTTGCCCTCAGCTGTTTTATTTTCCACTGCTAATACATTTTATTCCTGTTATTTAAATGATAAACTTCACGTATGTTCTTTGTAACAATGAAAGGGTACAGAGTATCTGTCTGAAGTATTGGTGCTATTCCCCTACCACTTGCCACCCTCTGTCTTTCTGCTGTAACTGCTGCTAAATTAGTATATTCTCTGTACATTTTATTCTGTTTAATAAACACACATATACGTGCATATCTGTAAGTTGGATTGTTCTATAAAAATTGGATGATTGTGTGAATATCCCATAGCTTACTCTTCTCACTTAACCCATCATGGGCCAATTCCAAGTCTATATACAGAGGGTCCCCAAGTTATGATGGTTGGACTTACGATTTTTTGACTTTATGATGGTGTGGAAGCGATACGCATTTGGCAGAAACCGCGCTTCTCTTGCCATGCTGGACTGGCAGTGGGCACAGTTCCCAGTCAGCCACACATTTTTGACAGGTTGTTTTCAGTTTACAACGTGTCTATAGGGGCGTGACCCCATCATAAGTTGGGGAGTTTTTGTATATATACCGTATGATCTGTGCCTGTCTTCTTGGTGCCTGGTGGTAGTCCACGGCATGCATAGACCGTAATTTTTCCTGCCATTGCCCTGTTGAGATGTTCCTGGGTTTTTACTATTGTAAAAAAAATATTGCAATAAACATTCTTAGACATCTGTTTTTGAAAAGTACTGCTTTGCATTGCTCTTAAAAGCAGATATTTTTTCTGGTGGCGAGTTCCTGGCTTAGGTTCTCTGCCTGGGATATCTCTCTTGACCTTTGTGGGCAGAGGAAGAGAATGGTCAGTGAATACTGTTTTCTAGGCTGTGATGACCTGCTTAGTAAAACAGCAAGAATGGAGCATTAGCAGTAATATATTCATTCTAGAAATCTGTCCTTCCCAGCTAAACCAGGGCTTGTCCCCTTCTTGATTTTAGGATTAGGGCAGAGTTTGGGTTTAATACATTTCTTCAAGTCCATTATCATTTAACTCAGTTTGCACTAGGAGACCCCAACTTCTCATATGCAAAATTATGAAAATGAAAGTGATCAAAAAGCCCACTTAATAGGTCTCAGATTTAAATAAGGGGGTGGAGGAAATGTCTCAGGGGACTTAGCTTCTGCATTTCCTTTCTTCAACTTATTAGGCAATTCCTGCTCAAGGTTTAATTGGGTATCTGGGGGACTCTTGTAGACAAGTTAGATTGATGCAACCATTCCTGTTCGATAACATGTTTATTGGCAGTATACTGAAAGATATAATAACGTAACTTACAGAGCCTTCTATTGACAGCTGTTTCTGCTGATACTCTGCAAACCTGCAGGTTGTAACATGTGGTATTAAATTTGGGCAGCTTGACCCTGTCACAGAATTCCACGTTCAGTGTGGCATCTCTGACGGGGAACTGCGAGAGGCATCTCCAGATGGGTGTATCTATAGTTGCTTCCCAGCTAGGAAAATGTCACCCGCACCAACAAATTCACGCTGTTGAGCACGACCTCAGCATGAGCGCCTGATCCTACACACCTAGTACCGGGTTCCAGTGATTGAAAGCGTGTTATGTTTCTGCACATCCTTTTGAATGTTTTTATGGGTCTCCATTGAAGTGTTTTGGTTGTTCCATGTCCTGAATATAATTGATGATTGTTCTGTTTTGCTGACCACTGCAGCTTAATGCAATGGCAAATCGTGCTGCAGGGAAAGGCTATGAGAATGAAGACAATTATTCCAATATCAAGTTTCAGTTTATCGGGATAGAGAACATCCATGTCATGAGGAACAGTCTGCAGAAAATGCTGGAAGGTAAACCATTTCCTTATGCACAGCGTTAAGAAAAAAAGCAATGAAATATTTTGATGTCAAAATGGAATAAGATAGTCTTTTGATTTTAAAATTGTTTTTTTTCCTGATGCTATTTACAGAGGTGTGATAAGTTGGGAAGATACCATGTTGCAGTGACTCTTTAAACATTTAACAGCTGTTTTCTGATTTTTATTTGTGTTATTGTGAAGTAGTTCTGTCCGTTGGGGGTTAGCAGTCTGGGATTCTCCAGTGGTACTTAGCATGTAAGGTAAAAGTGCAGAGGGACGTTTTTCTTTCTTCCTCATAATGTTAGTTTGATCTACATTCAAGGCCATTTGGAGACAAAGCAATCTTAAATTTGAAGAAATAACCAACCATTCATGAGGTTCATAAACTCTATCCTCAGGTTGCTGAGTGGGCATTAGAAGGGAGGATATGGGAGGTCCTGTCCTCATTTCTAAAGAGCAGCAACTGCTGCAAAACACATATGCATGTAACTCCCACCCCCAACACTCCCACAGCTAGCAATGAGCACTGCAGGACACGCACCCACAGACTGACATCCTCACGTGGAGGGGAAATTCATACAATTACGTAACATAGGGGAATTATTCATATGGCCAAACCAGGCATAGGCCAGTTAGCAGAGATTCTGCATTTCAAGCAAAACGAACCGCATCTACCGCTTATCCTCCTCGTGTTCATAAAGGCCTAAGGAAGAACCCTCGCCATGGTCCCCCACTCCTGGGTCTAGTGCGGACTGAGAAGAGAAGGCAGAGGGTGCAGAAAGCCCAAGGCCTTTGTGCCTTGGCTGCGAAGGCCATGTGTGCACTTCTGGGGCAAACACTGCCGAGGTGGAGCTGTGGGCGAGGAAGTGGGCTGTCTTGATAGGAAACGTGGGGTCTGGGATGAAGAGGGACAAAGAAGAGTTATTTTTTCTAGGAATCCATATTTGCTTTCATTATGCTTATGTCATTTTCCATACAATCAGAACGACTTAGTGTTGGGGCTGGGGAAACCGGAGTGTCACAAACAGGCCTAATTTCTGTCTCTTTCCGAGATTTCCTGGTTCACCTCAGTCGTTATGAAACTTTGAACACATCAGTTAACTTCTTTGGGTCTCTGTTACCTGCTTTAAAATGAGAGGATTAGACTAGTAATTTCTGTGGGTCTTTCTAGCCATGACAGTTTGATGTCCCCAGTTGCAAACACTTTAAAATAGAGCATTGAATGGATAAAAGAAATCCCTTCCTGCATCTGAAAAAAATCAGAGCCCCAGAGCTATCTTCATGTTACTTCTACATGTAATTTGTGGCGTCTCAGGTCACAGTGACAATACCCTGGGCGTGATCGTTTCAGCCTCTGAAACTTGGGGAGATTATTATGGACAATTTGGCTAACCCCGCTATAATCTGTGCTTTTCATGGGCTGAAAACTCGGACTAGCATGTTACTGTTATTGAAAAGGAAGTCTAACTTTAGTATGATGAGTGATCATTATCAGAATCATTAAAAAACATTTGATGTGCTTTAATATTTTTCATTTAGTAATTTCATAAGATGACTTTGAGGACATAAATTTTCTTCTATGTGGAGAGTTGTTCCTAAGAGTGCTTATAACACGCAAATTTGGCTTTAGTTTTTAAATTGGCATCTGTTCGGTTTTTCATCAGGAACTACTTCTCCTGCCCTTATACCTATGGTCTGACTCACTGCTTTTTCCAAAGGACAAACAAACAAAGTTCAGAAGGGCAGCTCTCTGTTTCCTAAGGGATTATGGTTCTTCTATATACTTCTCCAGCTATGTGCAGTGCAGTAAGCAAGGACAGCTTTCTGGATGCCTTTCAGGGGACGTGACCAATGTTTGACTATCTGTTTTTACCGGGTGAATTATAAACCACTGTGGAAGCTCAGCTGATGATGAAGTGTTGTAATCACTCCAACCTTCTGAGGCTTTTTCTCCTTCAAACATCTGTCCTTGGCATCAAAGAGATTTGAAGGTTTGCACCGTTGGTCCCTTGGTAGGCAGAGGAATAATGAACTTCATTCATGATGATTATTTTCTCCAGTTTGTTTTTACCACCGTTACGGATATTATCAGAATAGGTTCTGAATAACAGAGAAGTAAAATTGTTTGCATTCTGGCTTTGAACAGCTCAGTGTATGAGCAAGACCTACAGGATATTTCATCAGAAACTGAAATCTAGGACCAAGTTCACATCCTGTGTAGGTCCTTTAAAAGAGCTTCTTTAATTTTAACTTGGATTTATAAAGTCTAAGCCAACCTATTTTTGTGCTATTCGTACCTCCCAAGGAGATAAAATATCTTTCGGTTACATAGCAATTGTGGTGTTTATTATTGTAAGTGCTTTTCGTAGCAGTTTTCCTTTTGATCCTATGGATAGTGGATTTTCCCTCAAATAAAATAAAAGGACACCCCGTATTTTCTTTTCTATTGAAACAGTCAATGTGTACTTCTCAAGGCTAAGGAAATCGTTTTCAGATTAGGTGGCGCTTTTACCTCTTGGCATCCTTGGTGTTGAGTAGGAAACCAGTGGGAGGAAGGTAGGGAGGTGGAGGGAATGACTTTCACAGCTCGGCTTGTTGAGGGGCTGCCCGGTGACACCTCTTTGGCTGTATCTGCTTTCAAGGTAGGCAGGTGCTTACGAGAAAGACACGACAGGGACATCCTTTCTCTATCAATCAACATGCCATCTTTTCCATGTTGCCTAGAAAGTTTCACTTTCTCCCCACGACTAGTTTTATGCCTGGATTCCATGCGAATATTAGACTGATATTGTTGGCCACTGTGTGGTTCTGTCTAACCGACCACTCACTCACCGGTTTATTCATTTAGCTAAAAGTGGAGCAGCTGCTTTGAACTAGTCTTCATAAGTATTTTCACTTAAACGATTGTATTTGGTTTCACAACAATAGCGTGCAGCGCAGTTTCTTCACTTTATAGATGAAGAAACGGAGTCTCAGAGAGGTTAGACAACTTAATCTAAGATAATTTTTTAAAGAGGAAGCAGTAAGTTGAAACAAATAAATGTAGAAAAATATTTAAACTTCAGTAATTAATGTTAAGTTAAAACCTCAAAGTACCTTCTCACCTACTTTTGAAAAATTATAACATCCAGTACTGAAAAGAATATGGTAAAACTAGTACTTTAAATATTTCTGGTACCATTTAAATTAGTTTAGAGAGACATAATATGTTTCGTTTTGACATACATAATTTTTACCAGATTACCTCCTCTTAGGGACTAATCCAAAATATTGTTTTAAAAAATATATAGACATGCCTATATTGACAGTGGTAGTTTATTTATAATAGTAGAGTATTGGAAGACACATAAATGTTCAACAACAGGGGACTGATTAAATAATTTTTTTCCACCTTCCTGATAGAAAATTTTGTATCCTGGCTGGGCGCGGTGGCTCACGCCTGTAATCCTAGCACTCTGGGAGGCCAAGGTGGGAGGATTGCTTGAGGTCACGAGTTCAAGACCAGCCTGAGCAAGAGCGAGACCCTGTCTCTCCCAAAAATAGAAAAAATTAGCCAGACATGGTGGCGTATGCCTGTAGTCCCAGCTACTAGGAAGGCTGAGGCAGGAGGATCGCTTGAGCCCAGGAGTTTCAGGTTGCTGTGAGCTAGGCTGATGCCACAGCACTTCAACAACAGAGCACAGCTCTGTCTCAAAAAAAAAAAAAAGAAAATTTTTCATCCATTAGAAATAATAAATATAAATGAAGAATGTATGTACCAACATGTGAGAATGTGTATAATGTAAGTGAAAAATTCAGGTTATAACATTGAATTCATACTCTTATCACTATACAGTAAATCATATTACGAAGAAAGACTAGGAGAGAATGTTCAGAATGATAATTGGATTAGCATGGAAGGATATGCAGTGTTTTTCCTCTTCCTTATTTATAAAATATTTGCTATGGTTGGTATGTTACATTTTTTAAATCAATATACATTTATTATTTCACAGTTTCTGCGGGTCAGGAGTTTGGACATGTCTCATATATAAATTGGAACCCAGGGACACTGTTCTCAGGGTCTTCTAAGGCTATAACCAAAGTGTCCGCTGGGCTGCGTTCTCATCAGGAAGCTTGAAGGGGGAAGACTCCGCTTAACAGAGTACAGTGGGGTGTTGGCAGAATTTAGCTGAGGGCCCCACATTTTGTTGGCTAGAGGTCGCCCTCAGGTCCTAGAGGCTGCCTGCAGTTCTCTGCCACATGGACCTCTACATAATCTGTTCACAACGTGGCAGTTTATTTCTGCAAGGCGAGTGGGAGTATCTCTTTCCAGTTACAGAGTCTGGTATTTTACATTTTTAATTAAATTTTTTTTAAAGCATCTTTTCCAGTATCACATGACAAAGCAGGATTTGAACCCAGTACTTCCCGTCATATTATGATGATCCTTGTTGATTTGTAGTTCTGGTATCAGACAAGCTCGTAGATAACCACCTCACGTAGTAATGACGATAGAACTTTATGGAAGGATTACTATGTATTGGACACTTCAAAATTTTTAAGATACATTTACTCAAGTAATCGTCATTGCGATCATGTTGTAGCTACTCTTACCCTCATTTTACAGATGAGGAAATTCAGGCACAGAGGCAAAGAAACTTGTGCAAGCCCATAACAGTAAGTAGTAGAACCAACATTTTCACTTCATTAGTGTGAATGCAAATGCCACACTCTTAGCCACTAGGCTCTACTGCCCATCCAGGTGGTGGGTTGGCCTAGAAGGTGCCCTGTGAAGACCTGGGTTTGAGTTCTTGCCTTGGTCCCTGAGTAAACTTGATCAGAGCTCATTGTCTGCGTTGGTAAGATAACATAAGCAATACATCTTCCCTGTTTAATTCATGACTTATTAAAAGGATTTCTTGCAAACTATCAAGTGCTTTCCAACGCAAGGTGCATATGCTTTCCCTTGGGAGGCAATGATGTATTTTAAAATAAGTACCAAATAAAATG